CTTTCTAAAAAAAAAAAAAAAAAAAAAAAAAAAAAAAAAAAAAAAAAAAAAAAAAAAAAAGCATATTTAAAAATAAACAGCAGCACCCCTAACTGGTTTGGCTTAGTGGATAGAGTGTTGGTCTTTGGACGGACTGAAGGGTCCATGGTTCGATTTCTGTCAAGGGCATGTACCTTGGTTGTAAGCATATCCCCAGTAAGGGGTGTGCAGGAGGCAGCTGAGTGATGTTTCTATCTGATCAATGTTTCTAACTCTCTATCACTCTCCTTTCCTCTCTGTAAAAAATCAATGAGATACATTAAAAAAATAAACAACAAAAAATGTAACTGAAAAAGTCCCTTAGAAGGACCCTAAGGCCTCTCTGATACTCAGCTATGCTCTCACTCTTGTGTGCGAATCTGTTAATAATATTTGTGTTTGAAAGAGCGAACCTTAGGAGACTGCAAAATAGAGAGTTACTCTCCAGCAACTACATATAGGGACAAAAATAAAAGTTTAATGGAAATAAACACATTTCCTGAAGGGGTTTGGGTTAAACTCAACATTCTTTTAAACCCATGCTTGCTGTTTGTAGGGAGCGGCTATAGAGTCAAGCCTGTGGAGGGCAGAGCCACATACCAGCCCAGCGTGGAGGACAGAGCCCTCCAGCACAAATCCTCTCTTGTTCCTGGGTAGCGAATGGGCTGTGGGCACAGCACATGCTGCCAGAACAAGGCCTGAGTAATGAAATAGATCTGAAACTCACTAGAACGTTGTAAACATGTTGACCACCCCCTTGTTCTGCTCTGTGTACTCTGGCTATAAGATAAAGCCTCGGCTTGCAGGCTGGGTCACTGTTTCCTCCTCCAGGCAGTGACCCACCTGGTCCCAGTGGTATCCTCTTGGCTGTCTTCTTTATTCCTTCCCCGTCCCTCCTCAGGTTCACCTGGCCGTGCTGGACCAGGTTCCCTGTTTTCACAGGAGAAAATCCTAATAGCTCATGTTTATCACCCGCCTTTTGTTAGGCAAAGTGCTGAATAGCTCACATGGATTTTTTTTTTAACTGCTCACAATAGAACCATTAACGTGCCATAGTTCTTGCCATCCCAAGGCTATAGTCATGGAAACTGGGGCCTAGACAGATGAGGAAGGTCAGCTGGGACCCAGGGGCAAACAGGTGGCCCCGGATCACAGATGCTGCTGTCGTCCTAACCCCTGTGTACTGCAGTCTTCATCACAATGCTTCTCCCCAAAACCTGTGCTGATGACCCCTGCTCATTATCAAGGCCCTCTGCAATCTCAGTGGCCGTGCGTGGCGTGTGTGTGTGTGTGTGTGTGTGTGTGTTTAAATACATTTTTTATTGATTTCAGAGAAGAAGGGAGAGGGAGAGAGGGATAGAAACATCAATGATGAGAGAAAACCATTGATTGGCTGCTTCTGGCATGCCTCCTACTGAGGGTTGAGCTCCCAACCAAGGCATGTGCCCTTGACTGGACTCGAACCCGGGACCCTTCAGTCTGAAGACTGATGCTCTCTCTGTCCATCGAGCCAAACCAGCTAGGGCACATGTGTGATTTAAAATCCCCATTTTGGCTCAGTAGATAGAGCGTCGGCCTGCGAACTGAAAGGTTCCCTGTTCGATTCCAGTTGAGGGCATGTACAATGGTTGCGGGCACATCCCCAGTAGGGAGTGTGCAAGAGGCAGTTGATTGATGATTCTCTCTCATCGATGTTTCTAACTATCTCTCTCTTTTCCTCTCTGTAAAAAAATCAATAAAATATATTAAAAAAAATAAATAAGTAAAACCCCATCTGCCTTCTGGGGGAAGGTGACCATTCATCCAAATCCAGCTGACACTGGCTTTCCCCACCTCTGATTTTCTGAAGGTTGTCTGTGGCGGCCCTTCAGTCATGTGGGTTCAGCGAATCCTCAGGCTGCACGTTACACAAGCATGTGCTAACCTGGCCGGATCGGGAGGGTCCACCTGAACAGCAGACAACGCAGCCGAGCCCCTCAATGTTCTGAAACTAACCGGGAGCACGTGGTGTGTGGAACACGTGATCTCTTGTCAATCCGCCCCGGAGGTCACATCGATCTCACTGTGGCCCCGTCCTCTCTGCAGCGCCCTGCCACAGCCTGGCCATGAGAGCAGGGCTGGTCTCTCAGAGAGGAATTGAGAGGGCAGGGCGGGGAGAGGATGAGCTCCTGATTCCACTGTGGGACAAGGCAGAGTTATCCTCCATTTTGTAACTGGACTCAGCCCAATCAGGGTTAGCCAAGGCAGTGACATCACCACCGACCCGAGTAAAACCCCTGGACTGGGCGAAATTCGCTCTCTCTTCCGCCATGCTGCCAGCGTGAGTGGGACAGGGCCCATGCTAGCATGGAAAAGGCTCTTTTGTTTATTGCATCGGACTCGGCTCGCTGGTGGTCCTTGGGGATCACGAAATCTGGGCAGAACAGAATGGTGGTAACTCCCCGAAGCCCTCTCCTGCCGGGCCCAGTCAGGAGGCAGCAGCACACTGAGGCTTTATTCTCCCTGTCTTTGTACAAACCACTCTCAGAATCAGGACTGCTGCTAGGCAGGCGTAATAGTGAGCAGCCACCCGCGGCTGCTCCCTGCTATTGGACACATGGTACATTGTGTTCTTGGCATTTCTTATGTAAAAGCGAAGGTGCTAGGTTCCCCCCTGAGCCCAGAGCTAGGGAGACGTCTGCTTCCTTCTTTTCTCAGCCCACGAGGGCTGCCCTGGTCCGTGGTGTTTCTCTCTTGGGTCTGGCTTCCTCGTTGTCAGGAAGCTGGTGGCCAGGAAACCCACAGGTGGTGGCATCCTGGAACTGGGTTTGCCGGCACAACGCTGGCCCACGGCCTCATTGTCAGCCTCGGGACCCCACGCCGCCCAGTCCTCGGTGTCTTGTCCCGCATTACGGCTCCTTGCTTTGTAGCAGAGACAGCATGGGCTCGAGAGCTGGACTGCCTGGGGTTTCGAGAAGCACACCCACAGTTTGTACCGGTGTGATCTTGAGGGAGTTTCGTAACAGTCTCTCTGCCTCCCCTTTTCATTTGTATGGCAAGGACAATGGACACATCTGCCTTCGATAGCCATTGTGTACATGAAATGAAGCACGGTTCAAAGACATCATTATCGCAGCCTTTTCCTTTTGGAAGGAATGGTGGTGAAATATAACACGTATCATCTTAGCCACCTTTGCGTGTACAGCTCAGTGGTAAGCACACGCACATGGCCGCCAGGGGTCTTTCCATCCTGCCAGTCTAGAATGCCGCACGTGGCCATGACGAGGCCTGCCTGCTCCCTGCCCCCGCGGCCACCGCGTCTGCCTCTGTGACCCTGATGCCTCCGACACCGCAGGGAAGCGGAGCCTCGCTGTGCTGTCCTTTCATGACGGGTGGATGTCACTGAGCATGCGGCCCCTAAGGCTCATGTATGTTGTAGCATGTGTGACATGTACATTGTAGCATGTGTGAGCATGTTCTTCCTTGTGAAGGCAGAGGAAAATGGCATGTGCATGGCACATTTGCTCATCCACTCATGATGGGCACGTGAGTTATTCCCAACTTCTGGCCTTCCAGAGAAGACACAGAAGCACATTTGGGGTCATAGGGCTCAGCGAAGGATTAGATGAGACATTAAAAGTATAATCAATACAAGGCGAAATTGATCAGTGGGACTTCACTGAAATGAAAAACTTGGACCTCTGAGGCCCTGTTAAGAGGATTACATAACAAGGTGACAGACCAATGGAAATAGGTGCAAACCACTGATTTGGCAAAGGACTGATGCCTAACCTACAAAAGGAGCCCGTAACACCCAACAGCTAATCAGCCAAGCGGATCAATTAGAATATGGGCCAGGCACCCGCCGGACACCGGAACACAGATCAGCACCCGGAGGTGTTCCTCAGCCTCGCTGTCAGCACAGGCAGATGAAGACTCAGTGAGGCATCGCCACACACGCAGGGCAGCTAAATGCACACACACAAACACAAACCCAGCATCAGGTGGAGAAACCGAACTTCATACTTTGCTGGTGGAAATGTAAAATGGAACAAACCACTCTGGACTGCGATTTGGCAATTTCTTAAAAAGCTAGACATACCAACCATAAACTCAGCCAGCACACTTGTCGGCATTTCCCGGGGAAATGAACACGCATGCCTGCCCCAAACCCTGGCCGTGACTCCTCACAGCAGCTTTAGCTTGTGACAGCCCCGCACCAGAGACACCGAATGTCTCCCCGCCAGCCTGAGTGGTTAAAGGAACTGATCACCCTCAGCCCCAAACAGGAGCCCGGCAGGCCCAGGGCGGGCGTGGATCTGAGTGGAAAAGCAGCATCCACAGGCTGTGCCTGTGCGGCCCCGGGCACACAGCCTCCTCAGAAGCAAAAGTGAACTGGAGGACAGACTGGTGACTGGGCTAGGAGGGGGGTGGTGGGAGAGCTGGGGCAGGAGGCAGGTCTCCCTGGCGAGAGGGGAAGTTTCTAGTCTGACTTTGGTGGTGGCTCCAGGGGCCTTCACTTGGAATAAAATGACACAGCCCCCCCTCCCCAACACACACACACACACACACACACACACACACACACACACACACGGGCGCGTGCGAACACAACCAGGGCAAACTCTCCCGGATTTAAGTTCGATGGAATCAGGGGGAGGAACCAGGTGAGGGACGCACAGGACCGCTCTGTGTTGTTATGGTGATTTTTTAAACAACAGAAACGGCGGTGGCCACTCTATTTCCTAAGAGAACGCACACAAACTACGAGCTTGGGAAAGGCCAGTCCTCAGCTCTGCCCATCCCTGCCCCGTGCCCGGGGGAGGGTGCCCCAGAGGTGCTCCCGCCCTGGGTGGGCGGCGACAGCAAAGCCCCTCCTCCCGCCCGGAGAGTGGGTCGGATCGGAGCGCAGAGCCTTGCGCCCCGGAGCCGGGACGCACTTGGGAACCGCCGCCCGGTCCGTGCGCGCGGCTCGCGGGGCTGCCCTCCGCCCCGGCCGGGCCATGCAGGCGCTCAACATCACCGCGGAGCGGCTGTCGCGGCTGCTGCGGGAGCACAACCTGACCCGCCAGCAGTTCATCGCTCGCTACGGGCTGCGGCCGCTGGTGTGGGTGCCCGAGCTGCCGGCGCGCGTGCAGCTGGCCCTGGCGCTGGCCGGCGCGCTGCTGCTGGCGCTGGCGCTGCCCGGCAACGCGCTGGTGCTCTCCGTGGTGGCCCGCCGCAGGGCCATGCGCACCGTCACCAACATCTTCATCTGCTCCCTGGCGCTCAGCGACCTGCTCATCGCCCTCTTCTGCATCCCCGTCACCACGCTGCAGAACCTGTCCGACACCTGGCAGGGGGGTGAGTCCTCCGTCCTGACCCCTCACCCCCTCACCCCCTCATCCTCTTACACACCCCCCCCCCACCCCACACACACACAAACAGTCTGCAGATCCTTACTGCCTCTCTTCGCCTGCTTCTGCATCCCCGTCACCACGCTGAGAACCTGTCCCACACCTGGCAGGGGGGTGAGTGCGCCTCCCTATCCCCTGCCCTGGCCTTCAGGGGGACCCCCCACCTCTTCACTCCTTCACTCCCCGCCCCCCCCCCCCCCCCACACACACACAGTCTGCTCCCCTGACTCTCTGACCCTCGCTCTGCAGAGTCCGGCCTCAGAACCTCCTCACCTGTGCTCAGTGCAGAAGTTTTGGGCCTCTGACCTGTCCGAGCTTTTCTCTCCTTGTCGCCTAGAGATAAGGTCAGGGACCGGCTTGGGAAAGAGATCCCAGGCAGGGAGGTGGGTGCATCCCACTCTCCAGTCAGTTCAGCTTCTTTCGATAATTACCATTTTTTAAAAAATCCTATATAATAAAAGCTGAATATGCTGAATGTCCCATCCTTCCACCATTGGACCAGTTGCTATGACGTGCACTGACCACCAGGGGAGACGTGCTGACCCATAGGTTAACTTGCTGCTGCTGGGGTCTGGCTAATCAGGACTGAGGGAGATGGGCTGGACACACCCTGGAGCCCTTCCACAGTCCCTCCCCGGCCGGTTGTGCACCGGAAGGGTCCCTCAGCCGGGCCAGTGCCCTCACACAATCCCAGACCCCTCTGGGGATGTGGGAGAGCCGGTTTTGGCCCGGCCTCACAGGCCAGGCTGAGGGACCCCACTTGTGCATGAATCTGTGCACCAGGCCTCTGCTTTTTAATAAAGGATAATTACAAAGTTTTTCCCCCCTTAATTTTTAATAAAAGACAATTACCAAGGTTTCTTTTTTTCTAATTTTTAACAAACGATAAAAATGTTTCAAATACTAAAAGCCTCAACATCCCCACCTCCCCAACCATGGCTCCGTCCCCAAGGCGCCTGCGTGACCTCCAGACAGTCATATTCAGCCCAAGCACACACGTGTAATTAAGCCTTCACAAAACTGACATGACACATGTGCAGAAAAGGGTGTTGGGCCGTCATTTATACAGGGTTATTGGGCCCGGGGGGAGGAACACAGACCCTCTGCTCTCCTGACCAGAGACAGTTCCTCCCCCTCCTTTGTGGGGAACGGGAACCGCGGGGCCCTGGGGTCCCTGAGTCCTGGGCAGAGTGTGGAGGTTGGGAAAGTAGACACTGCACTTCCAGAACAATCCGGTCCTTCCAGAGACAGCTAGGGAGTGTGTCCTTGTCACCCACAAGCACCTTGGGTGTGCCTGGGTGGGTGTATGCAGATCCTCAACCCACAGTCCTCGTAACGTGGTGGAGACAGGGCGGGGGGGTGGGGATGGGGGGAATTGTGAGAGAAGCTGGCCTTATGCCCACAGGCCCTACCAGGTCCACCCCTTGCTAACTCCTTTCAGTCTCCTACAGGGTGTCCCTTGCCTCCCATAATCACCAATTTGAGGTCTTTCGTCTCTCTCCCTGGCATTGCTCCCCCGCACTCATTCCAGTCTCAACTACGGTGTAAAAGTTTCCCCACACGCGCACAGCATCCCGTCCGGAACAGTGCCTGGGGGTGGAATCCGTGCCGGGAGTGGACGTGGGCTCACGGGACACCGACTTCCTCAGGCACGCGGTGGAATCACACGGTGGAATCACACGGTGGAACCAGTACTTGAAGGTGCCCAGGGCAACCACCTCCGTAAAATTTGTGAGGAATCTTTTGATCATCTTACATAATTTGTTATTCTTAAAACTGAAAGATGAAACAGAGAAGGGGCCGGAGACCAGGAGGCCAGGACACAGGCTTTATTGAAGAGAAGAGCATCACTGCCGGCTGCTTCCAGAGAGAGAAAGAGAGAGAGAGAGAGAGAGAGAGAGAGAGAGAGAGAGAGAGCGCGCGAGCGAGCGCAGAAGAGAGCGAGGGCTGGGGTTTATGTCCTTTTTAAGGGGAGGATAGGGGATGGGGCTTAGGGCACTCAGCACACGCTGATTGGTGGTTTCATGTAAGGCCTTTGATGAGGGACCTAGGGACTTAAGAATCGGGGGCTTAGGGTATTGGGCAGGTGCTGATGGGTGGTCCAGTGCTCAGGAATGTCCGGCTGCAGGTGGGGTTTACGTCCCTCCATCACATGGAGGAAGGGAGGACCTGTTAAGAAATAGGCTCAGGTGCCTTGGTGTCTCTATTTGTGAGGACAGACTTAGGAAGCAGAGCATTGCTGGGAGATGTAGCTCCATGTTTAAAGGGCGGCATCGCTGAGAAGCGGACCTTCTCCTGAGGATGGAGAGACTGGTTCCTCCTGTGGCTCTGAGCCGTGCCTGTTCTCCGTGTCTGGACCTCGGTGTCTCGGTGAAACGTGAGGGATTCTGGGCGCTGGTAGCAGGATGAGGCAGAGCTTGGAGGCAGAGCTCGGAGCCGAGCCCGGGGAGGGCGATGCCAGGACCGAGCACCTGCCTCTTCCCACATGAGGCCTCGTGTGGGCCCTGCACGGGCTTCCCTCACACCTCCTGCTTCTTCGCTTCCGACATCACAGAGGCATTTCCTTCAGCTTCTAGATGCTGCAGAAGGGTCATAGGCTGCTTATTCACTTCACAGAGTTAGTGTGAGGGTGCCGGGTGTCGGTAAAAGTGCTTTGAAAAACACTGCCCATTGCATGAAGGTGTAAAGCAGTAGCCTCCTGCACACTCCCCACAGGGGACGTGCCTGCAACTAATGTACATGCCCTTGACTGGAATCGAACTGAGGACCCTTCAGTCTGCAGGCCGACGCTCTATCCTCTGAGCCAAACCGGTTAGGTCTAGAATATTCTTATAACCTGAGTAAGCCAAACAGAGATGCACACTCACGGAGAGGAGAGAGTTTCCGGGGAGAGTGAGCTGAGGGCATGGCGTTTGACTGGGCAGGGTGGGATACTATGACAGAACTCCGGGGTCAGGTAACAAGAGAAAGGTTGAGAGAATGAAGTCCAAGAGTTGAAGATGAGCTCGGCAGTTATTTATTTTTTGTGTGAAGCTCCTGAGGCTTGTCTTTCTGGCAAAGCATCCATTTATTCGGAAATGAAAAGAGCTCACCGGTGCCGCTGTGGGCCTCCGAGAACAGGAAGTAACCGGAAATGAGCAGAATAGGCTGGGGCAGAGCAGGGGCCGGCCGAGGTGGGGGCAGGAGGGCCTCTCGCGTTTCCAGAGGAAGGAGGAGGGAGTGTGTTCTAGAACAAGGGAAGTTTGAAGGAGAGAAGGCATAGCATTCCAAGAGCAGTGTGGAAGGCTTTGCAAGAAAATCGCTGAGATGTGGGCCTGGGGCAGTGCCGTGGGGGCACATTGGAAGGTATATAACCCCCATACACTGTGACTTCCCCTCCAATGCTCAGGGGAGGTGGGGCTTCAGCACAGTGGCCACCAGGGGGTGACAGCGGAGGAAGGAAGACCCAATGCCCTGTCTCCCCCCTCCCCCGCCCCCCCTGCAGGATCGCTGCTGGGGAGGGCATAGGTCTGTGTGTGTGTGTGTGGGGGGGGTTGCCCAGTATTGTCAGATCTCCTTTTATTGCTGTTACCATTTTATTATTATAGATTTTGATGATGCTGGTGTTTACTTCACATTTGAAAAGTAAAATGCACTTGGGGGAAGGAGACCCTTTCTGTGGGTTTGGCCCCAAATAATTCACAGACGTCCAGGTGGGACTAGTCCGCAAAGCCTCTCCAGACGCCCTGACCACGGCAGGTGGGGTAACCCACTGGTGTTTGTCTGTCTGTGCCACTCACGCCCTGGCTGGGGAACAACACCGCCTCTGGGCAGAGCCACGTTTTGACAAGATCCCGGGTGAGGCCCCTGGCTCTCAGGCCTGGCAGCATGGAGATGCTCCTGGAAGCCAGGGCACTGATCTCTGAGCCCCAGGCGGGGCTCCGTTGGCTGGAGTATCACCCGGTACACCAAAAGGTCACAGGGTCAGTTTCATCAGGGCACGGGTTTGATTCCTGGTCAAGGTGCATACGGGAGGCAGCTAGCTGACGTTTCTCTCTCACTTTCTCCCTTCTCCCCCTCTCTTTGCCTCCCCCTCCTTCTCCCTTCCTTTGTCTCCAAAATCAATAAAAATATATCCTCTGAGGATTAAAAAACCCAGCCCGTGTGGCTGCAGGCCAGTCGCTGGCCCAGACTTGGCCCCTCTGAGCCAGGAGCCGGCTCGCCCTGAGCCCACCTGTGTGTCTCTGCCCAGGTCCTCACTCAAAGCCCTCGTGCTGCTGCTGCAGGTCACGGCGGAGATCTCCATGTGGGAATCCACGGCCACGAGTGGGGCCTTTAAAACAACCCCCCATGGTTGGTGTCCAGCACATCACTGAGCAGACATTGCCTTCCTCTGAGGGAGACAAGGGGATCCAAAACAGCTGGTGTTTTACTGAGTGACACTCACCAGAAGGTGACCCAGGGATGCTCAGCTCTCAGCCGGCCCAGCATGAGGCCAGCTGTCCGCCAGTCCCCTATGCACCTGCCTTAGCATCCCACCATCAGCCATATCCCGGCATCAGCCACATCCAGCACCAGCCACGTCCTGGCATCAGCCACGTCCCAGCCACCAGCCACGTCTCTGCACCAGCCACGTTCCAGCCATGTCCCAGCACCAGCCACGTCCCAACACAGCCACATCCCAGCACAGCCATATCCCAGCCAGCAGCCACGTCCCAGCCACGTCCCAGCCACCAGCTGCCACTCCCACCCCACAAAACCTCCCAACAAGACCGAGCAGGCGTGGGGGCTCCTTCCCCCAGAAGAGTCAATGGGCTTGCTTGTGACCTTGCTGTTACCTCCGAGGTGAGAATGGGTTGTGTCGCCGTAGCGAGGAGTGGGCCCTGGAGGTTCTGGCTCCCGTCTGCTCGCTCCCCCATGTGGTCAGGCTCCAGCACAGACTTGCATGGGCCCGCGGCCGTGGCATTT